GACGGAAGGCACGCTTCCAGTGTTTTAGCACGTACGCACACTTCGAGGCCCAAACATCGACTCGGACCAAAAGCCTGGATCCGTTTTGGAAAATTTTCCCGAATAATTTAACACAACGGCATGATTTATAGAAGAATTTGCATAATAAAAATGATTTTTCATGCGTTCAACAATTTCGCGATTTTCTCCGTTCTCTTCGTTGTTTACTTCTTACAACAAAGATGGCGTCGAGATTTCGGCAGCTAGAAAATAACTTTTTTCGTTCTTTCCTTCCCGCGTGATCTTGTGTCTTTCGTTCATGCAGTTCAAGTATTGAATTCAATTCTGCTCGCATGTGGAAGAGAGGGGGTGAGAAGAAAAGGGACGAGTACACATGCGTCTGTACCATGAACCAAAAAGACAAGATCACGCGGGCAGGAGACTAGCCCGTTAGAATCGCATTAAGGAAAAAAGTTGAACGATTTTGACATTAGCCGTTTATTTACATTTCTTCGTTGTTTACAATTTGGTGGTGGCTTTTACTGCAATTTTCTTCATTTTCGCTTGTAACAACGTGTGTACACATAAGATAAAGAATAATTTAACACAACGGCATGATTTTTAGAAGAATTTGCATAATAAAAATGATTTTTCATGCGTTCAACAATTTCGCGGTTTTCTCCGTTCTCTTCGTTGTTTACTTCTTACAGCAAAGATGGCGTCGAGATTTCGGCAGCTAGAAAATAACTTTTTTCGTTCTTTCCGTCCCGCGTGATCTTGTGTCTTTCGTTCATGCGTCTGTACCGTCAATCAGCCTTAAGACTACAGGGGCTTAAAAGCTGGAAAGCGGCTCGTTGTGGTCACACTACAATTCTGAGAAACCGACAACTACCGAGTACAACGGATTACTGTGTACCAAGGCTCACTTTCACTAAAGGTTATAGCGTAACGCTACCTAGCAGAGAATCATGGCTCGAAGGGGTTCCGGGGTCTAGAGATGCCATAAGATTCTACATGGACGGCTCCAAACTAGGAAATAGGGTAGGAGGAGGCGGCTACTCGGCTAAACTGGGAATAAAAAGATTATTCCGACTACCAGACCACTGTAGTGTCTTTCAAGCCGAATTGGCAGCCATACAAGAAGCCGTTGACAGCCTAAAACTAGCTGATATCGCCACTACGGAAATTCGAAGTTGCCAACTGCCGCAAATCACTTAACGTGATGGCGGAGCAGTTCGCTTTGCACCTGGTATGGGTACCGGGGCACAGTGACATACCAGGAAATGAGAAGGCAGACGAGCTTGCAAGGGCGGGTACTTCCTCTCCACTTTCACCAGCCTGGAAGAGGATGGGTATGCCACTCGCTTCCTGCAAGCTCTTACTAAGGGAGAACTTCCTTGAAGAAGCGGCCTCCAGATGGGAGCCCACTGAAAACTGTAATACAACGAAGCTTACAGGGCCAAAATGGGATGTACGGAGATCGAGGGAAATTCTCACTCTCAATAAAGGCCATGTCACTGTCCATTGGTCTGTTCACAGGACATATCCTGATAGGAAGGCACGCAGAACACCTTGGGGTAAGTCACAACGACTACTGCAGGAGCTGCCACGACGAAGAAGGTCATCACCTCTGCACCGTTTTTTCGAATTTCCAAAATGAGAAGTCAAATTAAAGAACTGGGATTCTGATTCTACATAGATGTGCAGTGGTTTTATTTTTTGAAGTTACAGGGCGATTTGAAATTTGATGAAATGAAGAACACCATGCGAGACCTCTCATAACTGAGAAATGGTTTAGATTAATCATTAGGAATATTTTAAGGGATTTTTGAATGTTTCACCTGTTAAAAAAAAATTTAATTAAATGTTGGCGTTTTGACGCCATGCGGGTTCATTAATAATTTTAAATCCCTAATTTACTGGTCTTCACTATGCAAATCAACTTCAAAAAGTTCAACTGTTAATAGCTAAGTTAGCTTTAGGACAATCTTGACCACTTTGTATAAAGAAATGTTAAGCCCGTTTCTTAGCTTTAAAAGGACGTTAAGATGATGTCTCCACGATCAGCAGAACCCGAGATATAACGATTTGAAGAAGTATGTGATCAGTCAGAATCAGGAAAAAATGCAAACTTTGACAGATCATATCTCCGAAGAAAAGGGAAGAAAACAATTCCTCGAGCACGTGTTAGCTTATTTCATGTATAGAACCCACCAAAAAAAATTGACGCGAATCGGAGACATGACATAATTTTTTTTCGAAATCCGTCCGACTCAAAAACAAACAAACTGAAGTTTTCACACAACATATCTCTGGAAGTACTCATCGTAGAGTGCTGCAACTTAGTATAGGACATATAATATCAACGCCAAACTCATGGAAAAAATGGGAGTTATTGAAAAAGGGGGTGTGGTACCTCCTATGCAAACTGAATTTCTCACACCACATACACTTCTAGTGTTAGAAATTCAGTTTGTATGGTAGGTGCCACGACCCCTTTTTTCAATAACTCCCATTTTTTCCATGAGTTTGGCGTTGATATTATATATCTCTATACTAAGTTGCAGCACTCTACGGTGAATACATCCAGAGATATGTTGTTTGAGTACTTTTTTTCTGTATACAGCGCTCAATATCTTCACTTCTCTTCCTTCCATACCCTTTTTGTTAGAGTGTGAGTAGTTAGCATATTTGAAGAAAACTTCACAGTGAAGCAAACTGAATTCCGATGCAGACATTTAATTCAAACGTAAATTTTTTTTCTTTAATTTTTCAACATCGATAAATAAAAAACTAGAGTTTTTTTTTAAAACTAGAGTTTTTGTTAAAAATCGCCACGGATAGATCGACGCGATATTTAATTATCTCTTATTAAAAAAAAAAAGAAACTTGCAATCGGCTTATATTTTAGCTCTCAAAATTGATTTGTCCACAGCAACCTTTTTTGCCCCACTGTGCGCGGCCGAAGGCCACCAACGCGGAAAGGAATTTTACGCAAAAATACTGTTGATGCCCTAACACGAGTTTACTTTTTCTTTGCGAAAATAATCATTATATAAATAAACGAACATTTCCCACGCGCAACATTAAATCCTATGATGTATTGATCGATTGCTATCAACGTGGCAAGGTAGCTCATAATTTTGTACAATTTATGAAACTTCAAAAACTTATCTTTTGTCAAATATTTTGAAATGAAACTTCCTTCTTTTTGTATCATGAGAATACCTTTAAGGTAATAATTGATAACAGAAAGTGCGATAGCGATTCGAAAATTGTCGCTAAGTGCACGGTTAAAAATTTCGGTTTTAATTTTAAACTTTTTGGACTACATATATGACCAAACCAAATTCAGTTTCAAATACAAACCTTTCAAGCTTAAAAAAAAGAAGAGAGCACATATGTTGGGTTTAGAATTTAAACAGTTCGGCTTAAATTTTAAACCCAAACATTTTCATAATTATAAATAAAAAATAAAATTTCATGCCCCGTCTGATGTGGATTGAACCCGGACAGCCTTGGTAGCAACCAATTGTATCAAGCATCTTTGCACACTCAGCTACAGCCACGCATGTAAATGTTCTCTCTTATGTTTAGTTTGAATCAAGACCACGTTTCGCTGTCTGCAAACATTTTCTATTTGGGTTTAGATTTTAAACCAAATTTTCCATGGCTGCGTTTCTTTATACATTCCGGATAATCCCATTTTACAGCCGGAATAAACAGAATGCGTATGAAATATACGTCAACGTATCATCAGGAACGTTCTAAAGAATAAATAAACAAAAAAGTTTATTCCAAACGTTCAGAATGAATAAAGAAATGCAGCCTAT